CCATCAAGCCTTTACAATCCTCCAACACTCCCCCTAACTCTGATAACAACACTACATGTTGAGACCCCAGCCACTATACGACAACCACATAGTCACACTCAACAATAATCTTCCTTAATCCCATTTCGTATGCCCACTGCAACGCTTCACACAGGCCATAGGCCTCCACCGCCTCGACTCGAAAAGTTCCTTGTCATCGGCATGACATAGCTGCAATTACCTCCCCATTACAATCACGCACCACCGCTCCAACACCAAATTCCTTGGAGTGCTAGAACACAACCCCATCCACATTCACCTTAAAATGTGATTCATCTGGTGGTTCCCGCTTTATCTCCCCTCTCCTTGGTCCTCCTCGCGTCCCACATTTGTGTTTACAGTTCAGCGTACTCCTGCAAAAATCAAACCGCCATCCCACAAACTTGCTGTGGTTGTTGCCTCTTACTCTCCCATAATATATCATTTCGATTGTTCCACAGTGACCAACAAACTACCCCAAGCAACTCAAGCTTACTCTAGTCAACAGCGAAAGCAACTGTGTCAAAAAATTCAGTGAAACTATCCACCTGCAAATCCGCAACACAAAGGTTTAACTGACTCCCCAACCATACAGCTCGTGCAAACTGGCAATCCTTCATAACATGCGCCCTCGTTTCAGTCATCTCTCCACAAACTAGACAGTAGTTATCAATGTCCACCCATCTCTTACGTAAGTTTTCCTTTGTTGGAAGTATCTCCCTATAAGCACTCCAAAGGAATACTTTAATCCTTTTCGGTAGCTCCAACCTCCACAAAGTTTGTCCTCGAAACTCGCCTATAAAGGAGGATGGTTGCTGAGGATCTTGATGAGATTGACAGGCCACATGATATCCTGATTTCACCGAGTAACACCCCCCCCTCTTGTATGCTGCCAAACCCAATCATCCTCTAAACTTCTCCAACTAATTGGGATGGACAAAACTAACTGTGCCTCATTCTCTGAAAATAATTGATACACTAATTCCTTTCTCCAGCTATGCGTAACATCATCAATCAACTCTGAAACCCATTCCACCTCACACCCATCTGGTCTAGGAGTCACAATAGTAAAACATGATGAACCAGGAAGCCATGGGTCTTCCCACAACCTAGTGCTTCTACCATTTCTGATACGCCGTTGACAACTGCTTGGAGGATATATCTTGCCTCCCAGATACCCTTCCATGTAAGGCTAGCACTATATGCTTCTCTTGAATGTAGAAAGTCAGTTCTACGAAAGTATTTCGCCTTTAAAACTCTAGCAGCTAGCGAGTTTGGCTCTCTTATCAATCTCCAACCCTGCTTGGCTAGCATGGCCATATTAAATTTGTGAAGCGACCGAAAGCCCAATCCCCCTTCTCTCTTTGGTCTCGTCAATCTCCTCCATTCTACCCAATGGATCTTGTGACTGTCTTTACCCCCTCCCCACCAGTATCTCCTCATGATACCTTCCAAGGCTTTATAGAGAGTAATGGGGAGTTTAAAAATACTCATAATATAAGTGGGTAAAGATTGCAACACAGATTTTATGAGTACAAGACGACCCGCCCGTGAGAGAGACTGCTCATGCCACTCCTTAATCCTCGCCCAAAATTTTCCTTTTAAGCCTGCAAAAGCATCCACTTTTGATCTGCCAATATGGGTAGGAAGACCTAAGTAGCGGCCATGATGTTCTACCTCTTGTACAGCTAACAACTGACTAATTTGATTTTGTACCCTTCGCTGAACATTCCTACTGAACAAAATAGATGATTTATGGAAGTTCACAACTTGGCCTGAAGCCTCTCTATACCCCTTCAAAATCTGCTGCACTACTTCTGCTTCTTTCACTGTTGCTCTCAAAAAGAAAAGGCTATCATCAGCAAAAAGTAAATGGGAAACAATAGGAGCCTATCGACATACCCTGATCCCGTGAAGCAACCTTTGATTCTCGGCGTCCTTGATCATGCTCGTGAGACCCTCTGCACATAAATAAACAGGTATGGGGACAATGGATCCCGTTGGCGCAAACCATGAGTGGGAACGATCTGACCTACCTCCTTCCCATTTAATAGGATTTCATACTCCACTATACTAACACATTGCATAATCAAACCAGTACACCTCTCATCAAAACCCATCGCCACCATTACAGCTTCTAGATATCTCCACTCCACCCTATCATATGCCTTACTCATGTCAAGCTTGATGGCTTGCCACCCTCGTTGTTGCTCCCGCCTAAAATACATATAATGGAGCGCTTCAAAGGCTACAAGTACATTGTCTGTAATCTGTCGAACAAGCAAGAAAGCACTTTGCTCAACCGAAATCACCCTCAACAACACTTGTTTCAATCTATTTGCAAGAACCTTAGCAATAATCCAATATATCACATTACACAGGTTAAATGGATGTGGATCACCCATCACTTTTGGCTCCCCCATCACTTTTGGCTCCCCCACTTTAGGAATCAAAATAATCTGAGTAAAATTTAATTCCATTGGCAACTATTACCATTATTCAAGAACTCAAGACAGGCTTCTATAACTCCTTTCCCCACCACCGGCCAAAAATGTTGGAAAAAGCCTGGTGACATGCCATCTGGCCCTAGTGCCATCAATGGATGCATCTGGAAAATTGCTTCAGTCACTTCCTCTACTTTAAACTCCTTCAGTAGGTACCTATTGTCCTCATTGGTGACTTGACGATCTATGCATCTCGTTACTTGTTCAATATTGATTAGATGAGAAGATGAGAACAAATCATTAAAATATGATGCAGCTATCTCCTCTCAAGCCATGAAATTTGTTTTCCAGACCCCCCCTTGCATCCATCAACCTTGCCACCATATTACGCTCCCTTCTCCTAGAGGCTTTCCCATGGAAAAATTTTGTATTTCAATCCCTATCCTACAACCACACGTCTCTCGATTGTTGCCGCCACATCACTTCTTCCCGTGACAACCACACCTCAACCTCCCTCAAGACCTCCTTCTCCTCCTGCAGCCTTTCTTCTGTTCTTGGAAACCGTCTAATAACTTATACTCTATCCTCACACCGCTTAATTCTCTCCTGTACATTTCCAAACTGGGTTCGATTCCAATTGTCTAAATTGTTAGCACATGCTTTTAAACGATGCATGACTCCAACTAACACTCTCTCACCCTACTGCCCATTCCATCCCCGCTTCACCATCACTTGACATTGTTCATCCCACATCCACATTTCTTCAAACCTGAATCTTCTAACCTGCTTCCTACCATAGTCTTTACGTCTCCCCATAAGATTCATTAGAAGAGGACTATGATCTGAGCCTAACGGCGGTAAAGTTCAAACCATTGCTTGTGGAAAAGAGGCTTGCCACTCTCTAGATGCCAAAATTCTATCCAACTTCTCCTCCGCTCCCCCTCTACTCCATAAATAAGGGAACCCTATCATCCGTACCTCTGTAAGCTCACAATCTACCACTACCTCTCGAAAACCATTTAGCAACCACTCTGGTTGTGGTTCTCCTCCCCTTTTTTCTTCCTAGTCCAAAATATCATTAAAATCACCCCCAATTACCCATGGTAAAGATGATTTTGTTGCAAGCTCCCGCAACAATGCCCACGATAGCCTTCTATTACTTCTTTCTAAGTGCCCATAAAAACTAGTGAACCTCCACCTCTACTCCCCTCACCCTATGACCTCCATATCTATACGGTTTTGAGAGTAGGATAATAAAGATAAAATGACACCATCTTGCCATAGCATCGCTAAACCCCCACCAGTGCCATCTCTATCAATAGTAAAACAATTCTTAAAACCCAACTGACGTCGAACTCCCTCCATCCTTCGCTTATCTAGTTGTGTTTCACTAAGGAACACCGCTGTGGGTTTCTTCCACCTCACCAATTCAATGAGGCTACGAACTACGTGAGGGTTCCCAAGCCCTCGGCAATTCCAACATAACAGACTCATGTGACCAACAAGCCTGCATAGTAGCACCCGCCGATATAATAATTGCAGCTCTATCATCTCCAACACCTTTACCTTACTTCTCCCCCCCTTCTACCTCATTCCTTACCACCACCTCTTGCTCATCTTTTCGTTTCACCCTGCTAAGAATATGCTTCAATTGTGAACTTGAGCTCTTTCTTTCGCAAGCCTCTTTCTTCCAAGCTCTTCTCTTAAAAGGAGTGTTACTTGGGCCTGATGAGGAGACAAAAGCTATATCTGTCTCTGGACCTTGGCCACCTATATTGTCCACAATGAGGGTGTTTTTTAGACCTTGAACCATCCCAAGAGCATTTCTAGGCCCAACTCCCTCCACAGTATCAACACAACTCTGATCTTTTCTAGTAATGGGCCTTACGATCTCAACCCCCTTCAAACCACACAACTCCCGCCTATTAGTTTCCGCATTAACTTCAATCACCCTTTTTCCATCATCCACTCCTCCACCATCATCTCCAAATTTCTGGCCAGAACTTCGCACTAAGGAATCAATTGTGCCTTCCCAGAGATCTCACCTTTAACCATGAGCATTCAATTCTTTTTCCATATTCAAGCCTTCATGCCGCCAATTAGGGGAAAAACTTCCCCTCAAATCCCGTGACTCCCTAATTCTCGGACTTTCCAAGTTTGAACCTTGTCTTCTCCGTCGCCCCACCTCCGCCACCGAGTTACCGGAAGCATCCCTAAGCCAACCTCCACTATTTGCACCTCCTCCCTTGTCGTATCCTCCATGGGATTGCCCTCAGCTCATCATTGTAAGGCCGTTCAACCATCCCCATGCTTTCTAACTCTAGTCCCACTTCACAATCCCACTCAACATGATCTAGCATGCCACAACAATAGCAGAAGTTTGGAAGCCGCTCATACCGGAATGACACCCATAACGGCTTTCCTTTGAGTGTCAACTTCATGCCTCGTCTTAAAGGCCTACGAGCATCAATACCCATTCTAACTCGTATGTACTCTGACCCCCAAATATTCCCTTCACTGACATCCACCTCGATAAGTCTACCCATTACGCTTCCTATGTTTTTGTCAGACTCCACCGTCAAACGATCTAGGGAGAGATTATGGATCTAGATCCAAAACGGTACTTCAAACAATTCCTCCTTTACAACTTGTCGTCCCCCTTAAGCCTCCTACAAAACCATAATATGATTGTCGAACCGCCATGGCCCTTCAGCCAACACCCGCTGCATATCAACTGGATGGAAGCAATAGAAGGCAAAGAGATTATTTCCTAAAATCCTCATATGCATCCCCTTCACCGATCGCCACACATCAACCACAGTTCTTTCCATTGATTCCATATGGTACCGTTTTCGAGTGAGAACTGTACCCACCAAACACCATTGATCCCCTCTTCCACGCTGCTGCGCATCATCCCTATCGTCCAAACTCAACCGCACGTCTTCATTCGCTGTTAAAGCCAACCGCTCACCTAGCGCTAGCACTAGCTCTCTAACACTTGACTCTGCCATCGTCGACGCTTACAGTTTGCCACTCCCACGCAGAGGAGAAAAAAACCACTCCCACACAAAGGAGAGAAAAAATGTTCAAGCTTTTTTTATTTTTAGATTCATTATAGGTGTTCTTTCTTTTCATTTACACTTAGATGGTTTATTTAGAATTCATTTTTTACTATTTAAATTAGTCTGTCAAGTTTATATAATTATTATCAAATGGAAACATATTAATTGTATGTTGCAATTTGTAACTATTTATAATTATTAATATACTAGTAATCATTACTAAGAAATATCTTTATTTACAATCATTACTAATTATTACTACATTGAGGGTCAAAAAGAAGTCATTACAACCTTAGTCTAAGAATAATGAAGAAAATAAGAATCAATTTGCAAAATCCACTTTAAATATAATATAATATGTATCTACGCTAAATACATTATGTAATTAAAGTAAAAATCAAATTATGTATTTGAATAAATTATTTTCAACTTGAATAATATATATGGTAATTGAAGTGGAATTTGAAAACAATTGGTAAAAAATTTGATATAATTAAAGCATTATTATATGGAGGATTAAT